GGGCATCACAGCACATTGGTCACAAGATGAACTCGAGGATCATCCTGACTGTGGTCAATATTCTGGATACTAACTTATTTCTTTATTTTAAAAAAAACTTCTCAAGCCTCAGTTTTTACATCTATTAAGTGGAGCCAGTGCCTGACTCTCCTATATGGTTTTGAGGATACAATGAGATAATGCATTTGAAGTACATAGTGTAGTGACCAATATGCAGCATCATGATAAAGGGAGAAAAGACTGAAGTTGTCAAAGATTTCTTACTACTTGGTTCCACAATCAACACCAATGGAAGCAGCAGTCAAGAAATCAGATGACATATTGCATCGGGCAAAACTGCAGCAAAAGACCTCTGTAAAGTGCTGAAGAGCAAAGATGTCTCTTTGAAGACTAACATATGCTCAAACCCAAGCTGTAGTATTTTGCATAGCCTCAAATGCGTGTGAAAGCTAGACAATGAATAAGGAGGACCAAAGAAGAGTTGATGCTTTTGAGTTATGGTGTTAGAGAAGAATACTGAAAGTACTATGGGACTGCCAGAAGAACTAACAGATCTGTCCTGGAAGAGGTGCTCCTGGAATGCTTCTAGGAAGAGAGAATGGCCAGACTTCGTCTCACCTACTTTGGTCACACTGTCAGAAGGGACCATTCCCTGGAGAAGAATATCATGCTTGGTAAAGTGGAGGGTCAGCAAAAGAGGGGAAGGCCCCCAATGAGATGGACTGACACTGTGGCTGCAAAACAAACTCAAGTATGGCAAGGCTGGTGAGGCTGGCACAGGGCCGGGCACGGTTTCATTCGCTTACGTAGAGTGGCTGCGAGTCGGAGCCGACTTGACAGCATCTAACAGCTACAACAGTGTGGTGACAAGCACTTATTGAAAGGACAAAAAATGTTATATTTATGGTACATTAAATAACCACAGATAGATTACATGAGTAACATGAAATGAGGTGCAAACAATAGTGTATATGAAAACATATCATTCTAAATGGGTTTCTCCTCATCCAGAGCAAAGAAAAATGAAGAAAACCAAAGACACATGGAAACAATTAGTCCAAGGGGCTAGTAGACCATGCGATCCTCAGCCTATATGACCATCAGACGAGAAGAGGGTGAGAGGTAACTATAGGGAAGAAATGGGAAGAGAGCTGCTACATTGTGGGGAATTTCAGTCAATGTCATGAAACAAAATGTTTATGAACTGCATGGAAAATGAATTTTCTTCATAAACTTTCACCCAAATCACAATAAAATTTAAAAAAAAATAAGATAAAAAACACAGATTAAAAAAATATGTATTGTTCTACCACATGCCTTTATAATAAACGGTCAATTGGCTATTCAGCTGCTTTTTATTTGCCTTCTAGAAGAGCTTATAATTATGGTAGTTTGATATTTTGGATGCTTCATTTGCTGTAATAAGCTATAAGGTCATCAGTTGTCCAAATCTACTAAAGCATGAATATGTAATATCTAGGTCCACAACTGTGTTGATAGTACTGTTAGAAAACCAAGGAATGGAGCCATAACTATATTTTGAAAACAAGGCAAAATTTTCCTGTTTGCACATCATCAAACAGTATTTTCCCCAGAACAAGAAAAATATATTTAACAATGTTTTTCCAGGAGCACAGACATCTTTCCTCTCTCCTTAGAGTCTCAGCACCTGCCTTGGTTCAAATCACAAAGGTGCTCTGTGGATGAATGATAACTGTGCTCTTCTGGAGAAGCTGTAAATGACACAAGTTAATGAATGGCCCAGGAAAGAACTCCAGTACAAATGGACACATGACCATTCCTGTAACGCTCAATCATGGATGCCACTAACAAGATGTGGGCATCACCAAGGGACCACAGGTGTCTGGGTTCAAAGCCTGGAGAAGAAATGTCCCAGGAGTAATGAAGGATTATTTGTCATTCTGACATCTGAAAGGAAAGGGGGTCAGCTGGACCGTAAAAGGCTGGTGTTGTTGCCAACTCAACTCATGCTCAAACTGTTAACATGCTCACGATCAAAGTGCTATTGTGTGGGTTGGGTGGAACAGATCACAGTATTTTATAGATCGGAAAAAGGAGGTGCAGCAAAGACCTTTGCAAGCAACAGCTGGAAAAATAACCAGCCTAACCTCCCCTGAGCCAATGCAGAGAATTACACTGACTTAGATATTAGTGGCATCAATCAGTTAGCAGAAATGCTCATGTATAACAGGGTCTGTGTGTGTGTGTTACACACAGTATCTTCTTCAGGAAAATCTGTGAAGTTGGTGTTGATATTGCCTCCATTTACAGATGAGAAAACCAAGAATCTTAGAGGGTTGCTTAACAACTGAGGGGTTTGTAACTTCAAATAGTTACAAAATTTTTTCCTCATTTGGGAATAGAGTGACAATTCAAGCAAAATAAAAGAGCTGAAGAGAGAAAAATTACTACAATAAAACTTGCAAAAACTAGTACTTGTGTAAGGCAGAAACCTATCAGAGAAGGAAACTCAAATAATTTCCCCTAATAGAGAGTAAGAGGAAAGTGGTAAGACTGCACCCTATCAAAGACAGAAAACTTGCAAGATCCAGAAAAAAAAAGGCAGGCCCGTCAAGTTCAGATTCTCATGGGTTTTACTGTTATAAATCGGTACAATGAAAATGGAAGAAAGAGATTAAGCAAAATGTAGAAACAAGTAAAAGTTAAATGTATAAAGTAAACCAGTAAAGGTTTTGATATTGGACGTAGCAACAGGAAAAGGAAAGTTTTTGACCTGACAAAAGGACAGAACATTGAGCCATAAAGTCCATTTTCCCTCTCAAGCCCTACCTCAGACCATGGAATGGATCAGTCTGTTTGTCTATGAGAAAATTCTAAATATTCACTCTGTCATGGAAGTTATGAGTCCCTGGGTGGTTCAAATGGTTAACACGCTCAGCCATTAATTGAGAGGTTTGTGGTTCTAGTCCACCCAGAGGTGTCTTGGAAGAAACACCTGGTGATCAGCTTCTAAAAAATGTAGCCATTGAACACCGCGTGAAACACGGTTCTACTCTGACACACAGAGGGTGGCCATGAGTTGGAATCAATTCGATGGCAAGTGGATACCAGTTGCGCCAATTTCCTTGAAGAGGAGGCTCCTTCCTGTCCTTTGTGGCTCTTACACAGGTTCTTTCTTCACCTGCTTAGCTGGCTCTGCTCTTCCTGGGAGAACAACAGGGTCTCCATATAGCAATTGCTCCACAGGAATTACCAGGACTGAAAAGGCATATGCTTTTGAAGCAGTGGTGAATTTGTCGTAAGATTGCCTCTAATATTCAGACTTGAGAGGTACAAAGAGGAGAATTCTTATTCCAGACTTTCATCAGGAATTTCATGATGCAGAACTGCCAGAGTCACTTAGTACCAGAGGGCACTGAATGAATTGGTTATAGGGAGACAAGGCCTTCACACTAAAAAGCAAAGGGGACATTCCTAGGTTATAATGGTCCTATAATGAGTGTAAAACAACATAGAGGCATCATTTTCCCACCAAGAGAGCCCTGAAATTTTCAAAACTTGCTGATCTTTGCATTTTCCCATTTTGTATTTTACTTTGTGTAAAATTATGCTTATTGATGAATGATAGAGTTACTTAAAGGCTAGGACATGTGTATATCTTTTAACCCAGTTATTGTGGAGGAATCTGAGAAAGAAAGAGGAAGATGGGACATTTATGTGAGTAGGCAGTTTTCACTTTAAATCGACCTATAAAATATAACTAAAGAAGGTAGTAAAGAGTGGCTGAAAAATCAAACATAAAAATGATATAATAACCAGGACTCAAGAAGAAGAGAATGGCTGTGGATTAGAATTGCATGAAGGAAAATAGCATCCTGTCACCTATATTTCCACCACCAAAGAAGGGTCAGGTGCAGCATCAGCAGTGTGAACCGAACCTGCGTGAATTTGCAGAACCTAAAAGCATGGTCTCTGTTAAATGCTAAAAAGTGTTAGGAACAGCAGCTTAGTTTCCCTTTAGAAAGGCAAATCCTGAGCCTAAACGTAGACTGTAGCACAGTGCTGGGTATTCCATAAGTCAGACATTTTTTTGAGAACCACTGTGCCAGACGCTGTGTTAAAGCACTTTTAATTTATTTCCTAGTAATCCTTTAATAACCTCATTAATTATATGCTATGAGATGTCTCTGTTTTATAAGTAAGAACACTGAGACAGAAAGATAAAGTAATGTGCCCAGAGTTACCCAGAGAGTAGAGTGTCATAGTGAAAGGAACCTTTCAGGCTTTCTGCTCCCTGAGCTCGGAGTCATTTGTTTTTGGCTAGAAGGCAGGACACACTGCTAAGTAAGGGATGAATCAGCACTGCTGTGTTTCTGGTTCCAGCAAAGTGTGCACTGCTGTACTAGAAAAGCACTTTAGACATAAGTTTTACTCATGTTAATAAGAATAATCTAAATGGAATACTTTCCTTTCGAGAGTACTAAATGAGTACTCTTACCAAAAGGCAGTGGTTCGAATACACCAGCTGCTCCACAGGAGAAAGATGTGGCAGTCTACTTATGTAAAAATTACAGCCTTGGAAACTCTGTTCTATAGGGTCACCATGAGTCGGAATTGATTCCATGGCAGTTGGGGGCATTAGTTACATACCTTTGTTTTCCCCACTCAGTTAGCTCTATTACAAGGTATTAAAGACAAGGCTGAGAAAGTCTGATCTGGTTTCTAGTTTCTTTTCCGCCACTAACTCAGATCATGAATTTGGACCAATTATTTTGTCCTCAATGAAACTGAAACATGTCCAAGTCCACACTGAATAGTGGAATGTGACCTAGACAAGTGTTTTCAATGAATTAGTAACAGAAATGATTTACATATTTCCAGCTAGGTGTGTTGAGCAACAGGTTATCAGCTACCTTTTATTTCCATATATTATTTGTGCATATATATTTAATGTTTTCACTTTTTTATTTCAAAATTAAAGATAAATAAGTCACAACAAACATGGAAATACCACATACTATTTTCTTATCGTAGGACTCTCCACTGCTGTAGGTCGTGGCCAGTGTGGAGGAACACTCTTCCAGGTACCAAGGTTTCTTTCCACTTTCAGCTGTGCTGCTGATGGAGATGGTGTAGATGCTGTTGGTGTAGCCATCACAGGAGCAGTGGTCTTTGCTCCTTCCACCATTTCCTGACGCCCAGACAAACACGGAGCCGAGGCCTCTCCGCCCCTGTTCACAAGCAGAAATTAAATGATAATGTGAAAACATGAGGATCACCGACTCTAGATGACGAGAAGACCAAAGTCAACAGGGCAAAAGCAAATATTTGTAGGACAGGTGGAATAGTATCCTAATGATATGCTGGATTTAAGCTGGTTTGGGGATAGAGGGAGTTGTTTTAGGAATGAAAAGAAATCACTCCTTTCACATGATATAATCATATAAGTAACAGAAGCACCAATGATGATAACAATAATGGGTAACATTTATAAGGTACGTACCATATATTGAGCACATTTGTAAATACTTTATGTGAATTAGCTTGAATTCTTTCAATATCCTGTAACATTGGTACATTTCTTACCCTCATTGTACAGATGAGGATTTGAGGTGAAATTAAGTAGTGCTTCTAAAGGTGGATAGCTAGTCAATGATGGGGCCAAAATTTGAAAAATGATCATAAGACACGAGTGTTGGGTAATACTCATTGTAATTATTATAGTCACATTAACATTGTTTGAAATCTTTACATCCACCAGACACTTGGTGCTATTATTCATCTCCATTGTGAGGAACACGAGCTACAGGGTTTCCATATCCAGCCTGCAATCATAGTCACTGAAGGGTAGAAGTAGGTGCAAACCATGTACTTCCTTCTAGACCATCTCTCTCCTATGCACATTGCAGACATCAATTACTGAGGGATGTTAATGGATATTACCAGAAATAAAAGGATTTCAAGATCAACTTTGACTGAGAAATCAAGCGTTAAGCAAAATCAAAGAAGCTTCTTTATTAGAGAAATTCGACGAGCCTTTAAATAAGTGAATTTTCATTACAAACCTCTATGGGGGGACAGTCTAAAGAACTTTCCAAACATATTTGACCATGGACACCTTCTTCAACCAGAACCTAACTGTTCTTACAATGCTAGGAGACAGTGTCACATTCTTTATGCCAAAAGTTGGTAGCTGGGGTGGGGGACAAAAAAAGATAACTAAAAGATTTTTCAAAAATAATAAAATAATTACAGAACAGAAGCAAAGTAGAATGAAGAATAATGAAGCAAAGCGACTATTTGTTCCCAAAAGATGAGGTCTTCCGAACAATGAAATAAGTCAGAGTGAATATGTTGTTGTTGTTATTATGTGCCGTCGAGTCGGCCCGACTCATAGCGACCCCTCCTTGGGTTTCCGAGGCAGTATCACTACGGAAGTAGGAATGC